AACTGTAAGAAGAACTTCATAACCCCCATTCAAAGCACCAAATCCCTAACTCCTTGTACCTCTTATGTTAGGGGCTGAAACAACCTAGTGCTAGAGATGTCCACTCTATTTCCTTAGAAAAATATGTAGAGTCATTACTGAGATGAAAAACACGACAGACAGTCACCACAGACAGGCATCCAGATCAAGATGAACCTTCAAAAGATTCTCAGGGCTGTTGTACATCACGCACTATCCCAGGAAGCTCTAGGTTCCTACTAAAAATAAAAATCAAATCACACTATCCCATATTTTGAAGAGATGGGCCTGGTATCAAAAGGAGATGAATGCAAATAGTAACTAATACCCAACAATGTTAATTGAAAAGATATCTGCCTAAAATGTGGTGGTTACTCAAAATAAATGAATTCTCGAGAACACTAGGTGATAGAGCAATTAGAGCTTAAGCATTAGAGATTCTATGTCAGCAGTTCTCAGTGTGGCCTGTGGAACACTTACGGAACCCAAGCTTCAGGAAAAGCAAAATTATTTTGATAATAATGAAATAACATTTTACTCTCTTAAAAATGTACAGTGGAATTTCCTAAAAGCTATATGACTCAACAGATTAAAGTCAAAAGCAGATGAGAGAATCCAGGTGCCTTGGATTAAGTCAGACATGAAAAGAGACATTGAAGTCAGACATGAAAACAGACATCAAGATTTGCAAATAAAACAATGCTCTCTCGTGTTTCTTATTTTTAAAATACAGTCATTTTTCATAAAAACTACATTAATAGGAAGGTTTATTACTGTTATTTAAAAGTAAATATATGTTCAGAGAGTCTCAATTTTTAATATTGGAAATATTCACAGCTCTTTCTCTCCTAAGCAAAAGCTCTTTGGGAATCCACAAGAAATATTAAATTTGTAAAGAGATTCTGACTCAAAGAAGTTTGAGAATAACTCACAGCCAACCATGGGCACCCAGTGAAGAGGTCTTGAAAAGTCTATCACCTCTGATCATGTAGAACATTATAGAATCAAGATGACTACGTAGAAGGATTCTGAAAATGGCCCTTACAATCATCATTACTGGGTTCACTAGAGTAAATAGCAGGTTGGACAGCAGTCTTAAAAGCACTTTTTTCTTTGCTTTTCAATATACAAC